TTGTGAGGAATTTGATGTTAGCACGTTGTTCTGCATTAGCACTCAGCATTATTCCGACGGAGCTCAGAAACACGATCCGCTTCTAACAATGGTCGCGGCCAGACTAACCGATGCACGTGAATGAAACTTTGTGTGACGGTAGAGGGAAGTCCAAGGGTCAATGCCCTACCCTCCTCTTCGTCAATGACGTGGCCGGAAATGAGTCATAAAAGTAATCCGGGTTCTTTATTGCCACACCTTGTATTCTGTTCGATAAATCTGTAAATACTGTACTGTTCTCAAGGTGAACACTGAGTTTCAGATCATATTTCCTCAACAAATGAACTAATTCTATATAATTACCTCGGTCGATAGAATCCACGCTTTTGTCATGACCATGGAGGGCAAGTTGCCTCTTTCCTAAATGGCAGATGATATCAATCAAGCGTTTCATTATTTCTCTATTTTCTTTCAAATTTTCATTGTGCTGTAGTATCGTTCACATATAAACAGTTAATTTTCACATAACCATAGAAAGAACACAGTCCTTCGCTTCCATATCACAGGCATTAGCCAGCAAACCGACAGTTGCTTCCTTGCCCACTTCGTGTGAGATGAATTATTACAAAGTTTAATGAAGGAAACTTGGTCCATCCCACCAAGCAGGGTAAGGTAGGAGGAGGAGGCATGTGGCCTTGAGCAGGAACACGCGCTAAATGACAATATTCAAATCCTTATTACTCAAATTGAATTATTTATATATGACTTTCCTTTCCGTTTCTAACTACGGAAGCAATGCTTCCCTTGCTTCCATGCATGGCACACCACTGCTAACATCTCTTTTTCACTGAAGATGGAGACAGCAGGTTCCTACATAATATTGCCACCTATGCCTGCAACCTACGTGGTGATACATCCCCCAAGACTATAATCTCATGCTTACTCATTCATTGAAAAAGTTAATATCACTTCACCTCACTTGCAAGAACTAAAATGAATATTCTTTACAGAGCTAAAAATATTTACTTGTATGTAAGACAGAAATTGCTGCCCATCCATCTATATCAAGATCACACACAGCCTTGACTTAATGTTCTGGAGACAGATAAGTCATGCAATTTCCTTCAAATCACATGCAACTGATGTACTGCTATGACCATATAAATTTGGTTTATTCTGTGGCCTTTTACATGAATGTTATTTATCTGAATCTGAGGAGTTGCAAGCTTCATCATCTATCATCCAGGACTGGTGCATGAGCTTCATTTGAGTTGTAGACATAATCTGAACAGAGAAAGAATGACTTTCAGGTTGTAGCATTCAGTTAAAAACTGCGTGACGAGGTTATAATTTGGACTCCTCACAAGATATAATTAGAATGATAAGTTGTAAATAAGAGGATGAGATGTGCTGGGCATGTAGTAAGAATGGGGGAGAAGAGAAACGCATATAGGATATTGGTGGGGAAGTCAGAAGGAAAGACACCAATACAAAGACCTAGACATACATGGGAGGATAATACGTATTAAGATGGATCTTAGATCGGATGGGGTGGTATGGACTGGATTGATATGCCTCAGGATAGGGACTAGTAGAGGGCTCTTGTGAACATGGTAGCAAACCTTCTGATTCCATAAAATGTTGCAAATTCTTGAGTGACCAAACAACTGGCAGCTTCTCAAGAAATGACTCACCTCGATGGAGTTAACATTCCACTAATGATTGCCACCATACCAATTGGCATGGGACAGAAAAGACCCTTAAAACAGGGCCATTCATTAATCCATTATTACAGAAACAACCCATATATGCAATTTCTGGTTCAAATATCCGAAGTTGCTCCACAACAGCTACAGAGGCTTATATGCCTGCTTCTACATTTCTGTGCCCCTCACTCTTTGTTTTGTTAAAAACTGTTAAGTAATAACAAACCTTCAAACCTTAAAAAAAATACACAAAGTACTAACAATTTCAGTCTATAGTAACATTAATATCACAAGAACCTTTTTGGGAAAATCAGTAAACAGCACTAAGAACCAACACCATTACAGTAACAATGAACAAAACAGAACATAACCAAGGAACTGGCCACAGAATGTCAAAGCAAGGAAGCATATGTATAAAAAAAACTAAAAGATACAACAAAAACATTCCCCTACAATGTATTCCTAATTTTTCAAATTAAAAACCACCCAAGCAAGATAGAATGCGGCCACTGGTAACAATAATGTAAGAAAAGACCTGTATCCAATATCCCAGCTTACCCAGCAGGAACACACAAGTCACCATGATAACAAGATATACACCAACATCATTATAAAAAAAAATTAAAAATTTTGAACTTTAATTTTAAACTTACCACATATTGTCAATCTCCCCTACCAAATTCTACTGATAAAAGCCCCCATATATAAGGGGCAATCAAATGAAAACAGGTAAGAAGCCAAAACATATTAACTCTTTGACTGGTGCGGGCGTGTTTTAACGACCGGACGATGCCAGCCATTCCCTGGCGTTGGCGCGTTTTAACGCTTTGACAATCTCTTCCCTTCTTTGCTCTCTTGACACTCATCAACCAAAGACATATATATGATAGTTTTTGTGCATGTTTGTAAAGAACCCTTGTAAACTTTGTGGGGGTCTATATTACTGTCAGAACCCTCTGAGAAGGAAAAGGTCAGAAAATATTTCACATTCATTCAGTTTCACCATGGCTTCTTGCAGCAAGTGTCTTCGTGTTCCTACAGACCAGCTGGAAAATGTTGTGAA